CCTCTGAACCTCCAAATCCCTAAACACTGAAGAGGGCTAAACAGTATGGTTCTTTTATTCTTTTTAACTCACATAATACTTGACCACAAAACCCTGACAGTAATATAGAAGCAACTTTGAGCATCAGGAAGTGAGACACGAGGCAGTCAGCTTATATGGGCAAGGAGCCAGGAGCCTTGAGTTCTGCTCTTGGATTCACCATGTTGTAGCTAGCTAACCAGGGGAGAGTCACTTCATTTTAGTTTGTGTCTCAGTTTCTGATATGGTCAGGCTTTGTGTCCCCACCCAAAACTCATCTTGAATTATAATCTCCATCATCCCCCATGTGTCAAGGGAGAGAACAAGTGGAGATAATTGAATGATGGGGGCAGTTTCCCCCTTGCTGTTCTTGTGATAGTAAGTGAGTTCTCATGAGATCTGATGGTTTTTGTTTATTTGTTTGTTTTGTTTTGTTTTGTTTTATGAGATGGAGTCTCGCTCTGTCACCCCGGGCTGGAGTGCAGTGGTACGATCTTGGCTCACTGCAACCTCCACCTCCCAGGTTAAAGTGATTCTCCTGTGTCAGCCTCCCGAGTAGCTGGGACTGCATTTCACTATGTTGATCATGCTGGTCTCGAACTCCTGACCTCAGATGATCCGCCCACCTCGGCCTCCCAAAGTGCGGGGATTAGAGGCATGAGCCACTGCACCTGACTGAGATCTGATGGTTTTATAAGGGGCTCTTCCCCCCTCGCTTGGTATAAATTAGTTTCGGGCAGTTCTTAATAGCAGTATGAAATGGACTAATACAGTTTCCTTATTTGTAAAGTAGTAATAATCATATCTGCTTTATATACTAACTTCACTGGGTAAGTAGGTAGGTGTTGTAACTCTGAATGCTCTCTGGAGCGGTGAGGGGTGGGGCTGGGATGTCAACCCACTTTCCCTTTTCCATTATACATTCATATTCTGAAGACTCCAGACTGTCCTCAGACTGGGACAGGTGAAAACTGCCCGGGCCTAGAAGGCCCTGCATATCACAAACCACCCACAAGCCCCCAATCCACATACACATTATTGAAGAGCACATGACCCCTCTCTCAGTTTGGCATTCAACACTGACACAGCATGGCCATAAGCCTAAATATCTACTCTTACCACTAACATTGATTAGGCCCCAGGAAACATTCTCCACATCTCTTGCCTTATGTCCTCAAAACAGCAGGTGGCTGCATCTGAATGCCATAAAGGCTTGCAGGTTGGATCTGGTGTGGTGGCTCATGCCTGTAATCCCAGCACTTTGGAAGGCTGAGGAAGTCAGATCACCTGAGGTCAGGAGTTCAAGACCTGCCTGGCCAACATGGTGAAACCCCATCTCTACCAAAACCACAAAAATTAGCCAGGCATGGCAGCATGTGCCTGTAATCCTAGCTACTCGGGAGGCTGAGGCAGGAGAATTGCTTGAACCCAAGAGGCGGAGGCTGCAGTGAGCCGAGATCGTGCCACTGTACTCCAGCCTGGATGGCAGAGCGACATTCTGTCTCAAAATAAATAAATAAATAAATAAAAATAAAGACTTGCAGTCTGTGGTATCCTCATTTTAAAATTACGAATTTTAATTTATATTTTGCCTTTTAATTTTAATAGATGCTTTTGAATATTTTAGAAAAGATAACTTTTGACAATATATGAAAAACAATTTCACATTAAAATTTTTATATTTAGATTATACTTTTGATAAAAATATAAAATTTTATACAGCTTGAATATACTTATATTTTAATTTTAATCTTTTTTTGTAACTACTGTTGATAAAACACAAATTATTTGAAAATCTTGATTATTACAGCTTAACTGGGCCAGGCATGGTGGCTCGCACCTGTAATCCCAGCTCTTTGGGAGGCCAAGGTGGGAGGATTGCTTGAGGCCAGGAGTTCAAGACCAGCCTGGGCAACATAGCAAGACCCTGTTTCTACAAAAAAATTTACAAACTAGCTGGGTGTGGTGGCACGAACCTGTGGTCCTAGCTACTCGGGAGGCTGAGGTGAGAGGATTACTTGAGCCCAGGAGTTCAAGGCTATAGTGAGCTGTGATTATACCACTGCACTCCAGCATGGGTGACAAAGTAAGACCCTATCTCTTAAAAAACAAAACAAAACCCAAACAACTAGTGATTTTGCTAAAATAAAAACAAACAAACAAAAAATAGATACTTCATAAGTAGATAGAATGCAGATTTTTTTTTTTAAAAGGCAAACCACTTTTAAGAGTATGAATTCTACCTCAGAGCAATAGAAATCTATTATATAAATGATTTCTCAATCTGGGTTTCTTAAATGGGGTTACAAGAGGTATGTCATGATTTGGGAGGGGAAGGGATTTCTCAAAGCCCTTGTTAAGCATACTGCATGTTCTGGAATATCAATTGCCCTTTTAAACTTCTGTTTCTTTAAGAAAAACAGAGTAGGTTGTGGACTTGAACGAATATTTAAGATAAACACAGGACTTTGGAAAAATTTTGCATTTCCCAATAATTTTGCTTTGGGTCACTTTCCCAGGGCTTTGAGTGCACACCGGGGTGTGTGTGTGTGTGTGTGTGTGTGTGTGTGTGTGTTGTGTAGCTTTCATTCTTCTCTGTCAGTACTTCAGTGGAAAAGTTTAGGAAGCACTGGAAGAAATAATAAACAACTTACTAGGACAAGAAGAGCTCAGATTAGTATGCCTAGGAAAGGATTGAAAGAAGACAGTTCCTAATGGCCGGATGCAATGGCTCACACCTGAATACCAGCACTTTGGGAGGTTGAGTTGGGCTTGATTCCAAGAGTTTGAAACCAGCCTGTGCAACATAGCAAAACCCCATCTCTACAAAAAAAATACAAAAATTAGCAGGGTGTGGTGATGCATGCCTGTAGTCCTAGCTACTTGGGAGACTGAGAGAGGAGGATCTCTTGAGCCCAGGAGGTTGAGGTTGAGGCTGCCGTGAGGTGTGATCACACCACTCACTGCACTCCAGCCTGAGTGACAGAGCAAGACCCTGACTCAAAAAAAAGAGGATTACCTTCATTTGAAAAGGCATTACACCATGTTGCCAGCTTAATTGATTATTTTTGTGTATGCTACTAATGAGACCAAATCAATCATTCTGTCCCTGCGTGGACTGGTTAATTGAGCTCTTTTTCTTTGCTAAGATGTCCTAACCTCGGCCAGCCTTGCTGGTGTGTAACTGCTTCGTCATTAGCAAGAGTGCAGGAGAGAATGTGGAAGGCACGGCACAATCTAACAGTGCTTTGGAAAAACAACTAAACAGATGTTTCCACTAACAGTGGATGAGAAGCACTTCCTTCCTACAGATCTGTGCTCAGTTCTCTGCATACAGATCTGAGTTCTCAGTTCCACTAAGGTATACTGTGAAAAAGGAATGAGTTTCATCTCCTTTTCTGTCCCTTTTTGTTCTATTTTCTTCTGCAACATGGGAGAGGTAATACTAGAGAGAAGAGTCAGAGTGCTGGGGCAGGAAAAAAGAAACAAATATGAGGGGTTAGTGTCCTGATGCTGGTCCTGGTTAGGGCACTAAATAGCTATGGACCTTAGATTAAGTCTGCTGAACTTTTCTAGGCCTCCTTTTCCTCATTTGTAAAATCAGAGTTTTGGTTTAGATGATCTCTTAGGTTCCTCCTAAATCCAATATTCTGGATTATTTTGAACATTTTCCTGCAAAGTTTTCCTTTACTTTTGTAACCCCCTAATATGCAAACTTAATGACATTCAAAAATGGTTTACTGAGATGGCTCTCAGGAAACTTCTTAGGGTCAACAAGTTCCAAGCTTCTCAAAATAGAAGGATTATACCTTCTAAATAGGATTATATCAGAGTCCTGATTTTGAATTAGAAATAGTGATATAATGAATGATGTATATTGAAAAGATAATTTCCTAGTTCTCTCCCCTGAATAGGCCTAGAAATCGAGATCAAACTGGAGGCAACAAGCACTCCTAGCTCCCAGACAGAGATCTCTATTTACTAGTTTTCTCTAAAAGTAATCAAGACATATAGTGGATACTGTGGTTTGCCACCCAGATTCTCCATTCAGAACTGAGGCCTGGGATGCTGGAACAGTGGTGACGTTGGTTGTCCCTGAATCACTCTCTGGGCATTGTCTTAAACCAAAGTTTCTTAGTCTCAGCACTATTGACATTTTGGACTGGATAATTCTTTGCTGTTGGGGACTGTTCTGTGCGTTAGAAGATGTTTAGTAGAATCCCTGGCTTCTACCCGCTAGATACCAGTAGCACCCTACCCATGGCTGTGACAACCAAAAATGTCTCCAGGCATTGCCAAATGTCTCTGGGGGACAAATTACCTTGACTGAGAACCACTGCCCTAACATGAAGAGAGTCACCTCACCCAAGGTTATAACATCCTGCCCAGAGGCAGCCCATATCTAATGACTGGTTAATGTGGATTATAAAGGTCAGGCTCTCTTGCCTGAAGGGAGGACATCTTACAGGACTAGACCATCTCCAGTGTTCTCTGTGGATTTGGCTGTGACTCTACTGTGGTTCCACTGCTTTCTCTGCCTAGTCCTACTTTTGCCCCTCCCCCATAGGTGTTAATTCTAAGTGCAGTCCCTTAATTGCTTGTAAATATTCAACTCAGAGTCAATTTCCTGGAAGAACCCAACTTGAGACAGGTCTTCTTAGAGAAATGGCTGATTCCAGGTTTTAAACGGAAGATATGCCAGATAAACTTGGAACATCTTGTGATACCAGAAAGCAAGGAAGCAAGCTATGAAAGATTACTAGGATCATGTCAGAAGGACAGGAGTTAATTTACATACTCTCTCCTTGGCCACAGGTGTTCAAAGACAAACATCTATAATGATTGATGCTTAAATTCATGACATAAAGATTTTTAAGAAGTCATTGGTCACTTTGAAGAATGCAAGGAACTACCTCTTAATTTTATAAACTGGTAAATAAAATAAGCATTTTTTCCTGTCTTTCCTATATTGCCTATATCAGATAACCAAACAACAGATGAAGGGGAAGACTCAAGTTAATAAAAAAGAAAGGCTAGAAGTAGAATATCACCATTTTGCAGTCTTCAAAGAGATAATGACCTCTTTCAAAGAAGCAATGATCATCAGTGACTAAGAACAGCAGAAAAAGAAACAATTGGATATCATGGACCTCCTGCTAGACACCACCACAGTGCAGTGGTCTTGTGGGGTGTTGGGAGCAGTTCACAAGACTGCTCTTACTTCTGGCATCAGCTGCAAGTTTGGGGATTCTCAAAACCACACAATTTTGATAATTTGCTAGAAGGACTTGAAATCACTAAAAGTTGTTATCCTAATGGTTATGGTTTATCACAACTAAAGGATACAGATTAAAGGTAGTCCAGGAAAAAAATCATGTAAGACAAAGTCTAGAAAAGTTCCATATATGGATGTTCCAGTTATCTTCTCCCTGTGGAGTTGTATGCACCATTACTTTCCCATTATCAGTGTATGACCATATGCACAGATTATTGCCAAGCACCTGAGCCTTCCTGTCCAGATATTTATTTGGTTGGCTGCCCACATGACTTCTCCATCTCCAGCCCCTCCAGAACTGATTGCTGAGTATGTGTGACCCAAACCTCCCACTCTGTATCACATCATTACACTATCCATTTTAACCAAGGCCTGCACACAAACAAAACCACTCCTATCATGAAACTCCAAGGGTTTAGAAATTACACCCCCAAATAGAGGGAAAAGGCCAGACCCCTTTTTGGACAAGATTATAGTCTTTTCTACACATCTTGCAAAACAAACAAACAAAAAAGATTGAGCCTGAATCTGATTAAGCCTTTAGATTCAACTAACAATTTACAGGAAACACAGGGATAAAGAACCTTTTAAGTGATACCATAGCAAATTCAGGCCAATTGACCTGATATCTTTAACAAAAAGTTGCAAGAGGAAAAAGGGAACGGAAGAGAAACCTATAAATTAAAATAGAATTAAAATACATATTGCTTAGTTGCAATGTATTGTACCATATTTGGATCCTGATTTAAATAATGAAGTTGAAAGTTCTCAGAATTAGGGTAATGTGAACTCTGGTTGAATATTTTATGATGTTAAGGCATTAATTTTTGCATTAGATAATTGTTATGATCATGTTTAAAGATCACAAAAAGAATCTCTATCTTTTAGAGATTCATACTGAAATATTTACAGATGAAATGACATAATGTGTGGGATTTGCTTCAAAATAACCTGGGGATGAGTTGGTAGTAGGTGGGGTTTTGGATGGAATGAGACTGGCCATGTGCTGTAAGAAAACAAAAAAAAATGAGTTGTATGTTAGTTCACATGTTCATGCTTTCCATTTTGAAAAATGTAACATGTATATGTGATAGAGCCTGTGGGACTCAGGAGGCCTTCACTGAGCCTTGCTTTTCTGCTAAGGTACTTGTGTACAATAGACTGTTCTTATTTGTTCACCTCTTCATTTTCTCTGGGCCTTTGAGGGAGCAGATGTTGATTATTTCAGTTGAAAGCTGGAACTAGTATGCATAGTGGTTGAGGCTATACAGTTGTTGCGAAGAGATATAGATGCATACACAAGATAATGGATATGCTTTGTCTATTGATTTTTCTTAATTTTTTTTTTTTTTTTTATAGAAATGGGGCCAATGTTGCCCAGGCCAGTCTCGAACTCATGGACTCAGGCCATCCGCTTATCTTGGCCTACCCAAAGTGCTGGGATTACCGGTGTGAGCCACTGCACCTGGCCCCATTTATTTTTCAAGAGAAGCATTATAGTTTTAGTAAGATGGTAAACTTAATGTAGATAAACATTACCTTGTAATATTCTGGTAAGATCAATATATTTTGAAGTTAAAATTTAAAGCCTCATGTTTGCCATTTAAGGATATATATTTATTTTTGTATGTTTAAATGCATTTTGTATGCCTAAATAGTGGAATATTAAATTTATTGAGCAAAGGGAACTTTAAGTGATAAGGAGGAGAAAGCCAGGTATTTCTGAAGAACATTGAGCTTTGAGGATACGATCTCAACTTGTTAATACTAACAAGCCTATTCGTCCATTTTCACACTGCTATAAAGAAATGCCTATGAGGCCGGGCATGGTGGCTCACACCTGTAATCCCGGCACTTTGGGAGGCCAAGGCAGGTGGATCACCTGAGCTCAGGAGTTCAAGACCAGCCTGGGCAACACGGCGAAACCCCATCTCTACAAAAAATACATAAATTAGCCAGGCATGGTAGCATGCGTCTGAAGTCCCAGCTACTCAGGAGGCTGAGCAGGAGAATCACTTGAACCCGGGAGGTGGAGGTTGCAGTGAGCCGAGATTGTGCCACTGTACTCCAGCCTGGGTGACAGAGCTGTCTTGCAAAACAAAACAAAGCAAAACAAAACAAAACAAAAACAAAAGAAAGAAAAAGAAATGGAAATGCCTGAAACTGGGTAATTTATAAAGGAAAGAGGTTTAATTGACTAACAGTTGCACATGGCTGTAGAGGCCTCAGGAAATTCACAATCATGGCGGAAGGTGAAGGGGAAGCAGGCACCTTCTTCACATCGTGGTAGGAGGGAGAGAAGTGCTGCAAAGGGGGAACTTCCAAACACTTATAAAACTATCAGCTCTCGTGAGAACTCTCTCACTAACACAAGAACAGCATGGGGGAACCGCCCCTGTGATCCAATCACCTCCCAGCAGGTCCCTCCCTCAACACATGAGGATTACAATTTGAAATGAGATTTGGGTGGAGACATAGAGCCAAACCATACCACTAGAAACAGCAAAAAGTTATTCTGTGTGCAACTAGCAGAGATTCCAGGTGTCACTAAAATACACTTATTTGGAGCCTGATAACATTTTGTCTGATTTTTAAATCATTCGCTGAAATAATTTTTAAACAAAATCTACTTCTGAAAAGACTACAATTCCTAATATTGTTATGCACTAGTGTGTATTTTCACCATAACAAAGATTGTAACCATTTCCCATGTTTGGGCACTTATGATTTATACTCCCATCTTGTCTCCCTTGACAACTTTTTTTTTTTGTCCCTGAGATTGAGTCTCGCCCTGTTGCCCAGGCTGAAGTGCAGTGGCGTGATTTCAGCTCACTGCACCTCTGCCTGCCATGTTCAAGAGAGTCTCCTGCTTCAGCCTCCTGAGTAGCTGGGATTACAGGTGCCCGCCACCATGCCCAGCTAATTTTTGTATTTTTAGTAGAGACGGGGTTTTGCCATGTTGGCCAGGCTGGTCTCGAACTCCTGACCTCATGATCTGCCCGCCTCAGCCTCCCAAAGTGTTGGGATTACAGGCATGAGCCACTGCGCCTGGCCGACAACTTTTTAAATTGGCTTTTCTCATATTCTGAATAACAGAACTGTTAAGATATCTTTTACAACCAAACTGTCTTTGAGGTTTCTTTCTTAGACAACACCAAAGATTTATTTTCTCATTTTGTAAAAGGAGGGGTGCTGGAAGTCATTGAAAATACTTGGAATTCTCTGTATTTGTGAGAGCATTTGCCAAGCCCATAGTATGGAAACAGCTGGCAAACCAACCTCCCTAGGTCAATTATATACAAAAATATACAAAGCATGTTATTAATATTAGGTCAATTATATACAAAGCATGTTATTAATATTAAAATGAACAAGTTTCAGCAATTGCAATCTTTCAGGATGGATAGAGCATACTCAAGGTAATGTGTGAAGACTGGCATAATAACTGTCGGCAAGATTTATTCAATGTTTTTTGTTTTAAAATACCTGTATCAATTGGTTACCAAAAAATACACATTGGGATAAATTAAAAAGTCCTGGAGATCTGTCAAGGCCGTTGTTGTCTATAGGATGCTACTACTTTCAGAGCAATTGTTGATTAAATCTTTTAAAAATACTTGTACATTATGTCTCATTTTTCTTATTGTAGATACTGTTAATTATTATAGTAAATTAACCCAAGCCATTGACCAAGTCTTGTCGTCAATAGGTAGTTTCTTCTTTTCCTTTGCACTTATCTAAACACCCTTGCTATTAATCAATAAATCAATAATGGAGTCTCTGGAAGAAACATCAAAGGGATCATAACATCCCAGCAGTGGCCTCAAATAGGTTCTTTTAACTATTGACACTAACTGGAGCAGATTCATGGACACAAGCTTTCCAGTATAAGCTGACACTGTCACCAGAAGCCCCTGGTTGGACTGTGTGACTGAGCATGTCTAGGACCTTTTATTTAGTCTAAAAGCAGATGACTTTGTGATAGTAGGGTTACTTAAACCAAGATCAGAAAACAAGAATTAATGATGCAGGATGGAAAGAAATTAAGATGAAAATTCACTTGGGGCTAACCTATATTCTGTTTGGCAAATGAGAACAACACTCCTTTTCTTTCTTCCTGATCTATCACTAATTCCCAATTTAATAAGCAAACCCTGTACGAAGTGGAACAAAACATTCTTTAAATGGTATCTCATTACAACTGATGTCTCAGAATTCAGAAAAAAATCTAGAAAACATCTTAGGGTATAGATTATAAGTGAATAAATCAAGAGAAACATCTAAGAAAAATGATTTTGAGAAAAAGAGTGACACACACTGATTGGCTTCTGTAAAACTGCATGTAACAGTGGTTATTGTTAAAGTGCCATTCATTGCTTCACTTTATTTTTTATGACCATGTCATTATTTACATAGGGTCAGTACACCTCTGTCTTGGGATATGGTTAGATAAAGAAAATTTGTCACAGTTGCCATGCAAGAAATGTCATATTTTAAAACAAGTCTGACTTAATTAGGCATGATAAGCTCACTTTAAGAAATAAGGTCTGGGCCGGGTGCGGTGGCTCATGCCTGTAATCTCAGCACTTTGGGAGACTGAGGCGGGTGGATCACTTGAAGTCAGGAGTTTGAGACCAACCCCATCTCTACTAAAAATACAAAAATTAGCCGGGTGTAGTGGCACATGCCTGTAATTTCAGCTACTTGGGATGCTGAGGCAGGAGAATGGCTTGAACCCAGGAGGCAGAGGTTGCAGTGAGCCAAAATTGTGCCATTGCACTTCAGCCTGGGCGACAAGAGCAAAACTCCATCCCTCCCCCAAACCCCCCCCCCAAAAAAAAAGAAACAGGGACTGTACTTGATATGTGGAAATGATGCCCACAACATCCTCCCAGGAAACTTACCTTGTACCTGCTCTCTGGCTAGTGAAATCTCAGCCTTACAGTTAGTAAAGAACGCCACTTGCTGACACAGCAGGAACATTGACAGACTTGGGGACCTCAGAGAAGGAAGGACGTCCTAGTTATGTAGTTCCTGAGGAAAAGCATGGTCCAGGCAAACGGGATGCCTTTTTTCTCCTAGACCTAGAAATGGCAAACTGATTGAGAACAGCAATTCAAAATCATCTGCAAAACTGATGTGATCAAAATCTGACTAGGGGCTTTATGAAGCCTCTGGGCAGAAGTTAATTCTCCAAGCCTTGGTATTTTAAGGCTTTACTTTTTAAAACCATACAGCAAAAAAATCTCCTAGTATTAATCAACACCTTTTGTGGCAACTGTATAAAATAAAGAGAAAAACCCATCAAATTAATAATATGGATCAGAAAATTTCTGAACAAACCCGTGTAGTCAGAACTATACTTCTGGCAGCCCCAGAAGGAGGGGCTAGGGAAGCAGAAATGACATCCTGCCTTGTTGCCATCTTGACTTAGCACATTATATAGCACAGTCACACAAAACAAAAAACCCATCCCTGCCCCCACAAAACCCCAAACACTTGACATTCTTAAAAATACTAAAACGGGCAGAAACACCCTAACACTTTTCTCTAAATGAAGACCATGCCCTTTTTGTAAGCTGCTACCCTAATGCAAACAATTTGATTCCTGATTGAATGGCATGAACCCAGGAGGCAGAGGTTGCAGTGAGCCAAGATCACGCCACTGCACTCCAGCCTGAGCGACAGTGCAAGACTCCATCTCAAAAACAAACAAACAAACAAAAAACAACCAATATAATTCCTGATTTTGCAATATTAATATCAACATAGGCGATAACCCTTGCAGGTAGGATAGTCATGTGAGGAACAGACCAACTGTACACTTGGTAACCTCTTGTGTTTTTCTCTAAACACCTGCTGTGTTCTTTGTTTAGATAGCTCAGTTGTTCTGAAGTAAGATCTGCCTTACAGAATAGTGAAAGTAAAATTATTTTCTTAATAGTTTTGTGTCTGAGTTATCCTTTCACAAGTGATAGTTATCAAAGCTGGGTGAAAGGTACTTCAGATCCTTTTAATCTTCTCTATAATTTTGTATATGTTCTTAAATTTCCACAATAAAAAATTAAAGTTGTATATTGGGGCTACACTATGTATCAAAGAGATATTGTCAGTGCTTTCCTATAAAGACACAAGACTTAGTCTAATTTTAACTAGTTTCCAAACTTAAAGCCTGCATTGAGGCTGTATTCAGTTTTAAAGCACGTGCAACTAGTAGATATGACGAACCATCCCAAAGATAGTACTGCAGTTGGCAGCCTAGGAGCAAGGAAAGGTAT